TTCATCGATTTATATTTCAAACATAACAAAATGTTGAATGCCAATTTAATATTAATTTGATGAATTTTAAATTTATAATTTTGAATATTTATTTAATATGAATGTCAATTTAAAGTTATTTTTGATGAATTGAGTGTTAATTGGATAAAATTAAAAATTAATTTCAAAAAATTAAATGTCAATTTGATGTAACTAAATATAGGATCGGGACTAATTCAAAAAAAAAGAAAAAGTTCGGCTAGTCATAATCGATCCTATCTAATTAGAACCATCAGATATTTAGTTTTAAAGAATTTTTGGACCATCAAATGCATTAAGATTAATCTTATATAGTCATGATCGATCCTAATAGAGTAGAATCGCAAAAAAAAATATGTAATAATAATAATTTAGATCCATCAGAGGCATTGGGATCGAGATGAAGTTACAACTTAAAGGTAATGTTACTACTTGCAAAGACAAAATTATAATACTTGAGATAAAATTATCAAATTTTAAGATAAAGTTACTATCTTCAGAGATAAAATTACAATAATTTATGGTTAAGATACAACTTGTAGAAATAAAGATATTACTCTTAGAGGTGGGGTTATAACCTCAAAAAAAAAAGGTTACAATCTTTTAAGATAAAACTACTACCTTTAAAGGTGAGGGTATAACCATTTGAGATTAAATTATAACCAGTAAAAGTAAAATTATCACCTTTAAAGGTCATATACAAACTCTTTAGGTAAGGTTATAATAATTGAAAGTAAAATTACTATATTTGAAAGTAATGTTATAATCATTTGAGGTTAAATAACATTCTGTATAGATAAAATTACTAACTTTAAAAGTTAAATTATAATTTTTTGATATGAGGGTATAACAATTTATGATAAAATTATTACATTTGGATGTGAAATTATAACTATCAAAGATTTTATGTTAAAAAAAAAAAAGGTTTTATGTTACAAGCAATAAACGTAAAAATACCACTTCTAAATGTGAGGTGTGGTTACAATTTTTTGACGTGGATTTACAACTCTTTAAAGTAATATTATCAAATTTAGAAATAAAATTACAATCTTTAGAAAAAAAAAATTAACTTTTATAGACAAAGTTATCACATTTGGTAAGTAATATTTAATGACAAAAAAATTGATAATCATACAATTTTTACAGTATAGTATCAACATCGATAGAAGAGCTTATGCTTTACGAGGAATTACAGACAAGGTGGTCCGCCACGGTAAAAAAGTAAAAGTAGAAGGCAAAAAAAAAAAAAAGGAAATTAAGATCAATTATAAATTCTTTTGCAACTCTTTAGGGTGATATTATCAAATTTAATGACAAAATGATCACCATTATAGATAAAATTATAATCTTAAAAAAAAAATATACAAATTTTATAGATAAAATTATTACCTTCAATGAATAATATTTAATGATAAAAAATTAATATCTACACTTTTTTACGGTATTGTACCGACGTCGGAACAGAACCTCTCCCCCCACTTACAAATGACGACACGAGACCTGAGTTTCCTCGTGCTTTCTCACTTACTCGGTCACTCATCACGCTCCTTGTCGTAAAGTGATTGCCATTACGTTAAAGTGGATGGGTGACAAGAGCCACCTTGAGAAAGCAAAACACTTCACTTCCACTTGGAAACGAAGCTACAAGAGTGATTGTACTTAGTGGGGTCCATAAAAGACTTTAGGAAGACAGGAGGATGGTCGTAGTTATGAGGAAGGGTACAAATTATTTATGGTAAAAATCATAATTACTCAAAAAATTCGGTCTCAATTTGATCCCTAAAATTTTAATTATTTTAATTTAGTCTATTAATTATACATTTTGTTCCACTTGAGTCATTTTGTCTATTGTTACCTTTAAATTAAATAGAAATTAATCTGATCCGATCAATTTTCACCGTTAAATCATATTTTTTTCATTTGTTCTAATAGTGAAAATTGATGAAATGACTTAATTAAAATAAAATTAATAGTTAAGAGACTAAATTAAAATAATTGAAAGTTCATGAATCAAATTAAAATCGAAATCAAAGTTCAGGGACTAATTATAAAATTTACCCAATTATTTACCGGATTGGATGGAATGGTGAGCTCTTATCCAAACTTGATGACAAAAATTGATTAGAATAATATTATAAAATTTTTAAAAAAATTGTGACATGCTTTCAAAAAAATAGCATTGCATATTTGGCAATGACAACGTGATGTTGTTGGGTTTTAAAACATGTGAGTAGTTCACTATGATCTTCTTTATCTATAAATAGTAATAATTTGTGTTTAAACTTATTTTATATTTATCAAAAATTAAGTATCGATCGTAAAACATTCATATTTTAAATAATAATTTATTTAATTTTCTTTTCTTTTTATTATGTGATTTAAAGTTAAAATGAATATAGAAAAAATAAGAGAGATGGGGGGATAGAAAGAGAGAGAAAATAGGTAGATGTAAATTAGTGGGGTTGTTTGACATTAGTGAGTGTGTTGATTAAATTTTTTAAAATTGAAAATTGTGCATAGAAGATGATATTTTTAAGCCGGAATTTTTTTTAAGTTGAATCAATATTGACTGTTATTAATTTTTTTATAAATTGAGAATTCAACCTGTTACTTGTAATATTAGATAAATAGTTACTTGCGCAATAACCAAAACAACCCTTCTGTCAAGAAGAAAGACAAAAAAATAAAAAAAATAATATGGATTTCAAATTTAGGATCCCAAATGAGTATGAACTCTTGAATGAGGGCATCTCATTAAAAAAAATTCATTGGAAACCACTAATCCAAGGGTCCAGAACCATTTGAAATTCCATTTGGAATCCCTAGCATTGTTCAATAAATAATAACAAGAACAATTAAATTGAAATCCTTGACATTTAGTTTTAATCTCCAACCACTCCTTTCTATTAAAGAACCTGATTTTTTAACAAGTAGTTGTTTATATAAACTTTCTAGCTAGGCTGCTTCACATGTCATTCCTATGTTTATCTATTTATTTTAGCATTCTTTTTATTTAATGTTGTATATAGTTTTAATATGTACATTATCTTTATAAATCAAATATGGTTCACTAGTTTAGAAAATTCTCAAGTATAGACTTACTAAAAAATTTGTGAGACTTTTGTTTCCTTTTGTTTAGTCAGTATATCTATAATATAAAATAAGGCAGTGTTCAATAAATTTATTTAACGATCGTAAATAGATTTATCCAACGGCTACTAACATCACTTTCAAAATCATTCATATTGAATTTTTCCTCCAAATACATTATTTCTCACTTACGTTTTACTGTACCTTCAGATACGAATTACCCTAATATATTCTTAAGTCATGGATATCTGCACTTTGCAGATAATTCTTTATAGGTTCATCAAAATTGGTTTATTTTTTTGCTATACCTGTATAGGCTTACACCAATAACTCTCTCGAGTTCAATGACTATCACCGTGGCTAGAGTTGGGTTCGAGCATATACCTAAGGAACAAGAGTGACTACTTTTTAGGGAGTGTGAGAAAGAATTGAATCTAAAACATTTAAATTACTAAAAATCAGACTCAACCACCCTAAATGTTGGTTTATCTATAGTCTAGAGTTTTCTGCATTTTAGTCCACAAAGAATAGCCTATTTTTGTTAACCAGATGTTAACTTCTAGTATAATGAACTTCATAGGTTACATGTATAAGAGATATCATTTGGAAAATTAATCAATTTACAATGTTATGAAATTAGAAAGTATTCAATGAAGTTTCTTAAACTCATATCTTTTTAATTTGATTACCATCTAGGCTGGTCAAATATTTGGATTAAAATTGTGGCCTAAATAAAGTCGAAGCTATTTAACCCAAAAAATAAAAGGCACAAGAATACTTAATTACGTATATAGATTTTTCAAATTTGATCAGTTTAATATTTATTAACAGTCGTCGTGACGTTTAAAATTTGTAATATTGTTTTATAGTCACCACCACCCTTACCCATGCCTCAGCCTCATCGCTACCAACAACTACCACTCCATGCTAAAATTATTTTAAAAAATAATTATTAATATGTTAAATTAATATTTTAAAAAAATACATATAAAATAATTAATAACATTGATGAAAGTTCAACTGTGAAGTAGTTATCACAAAGTTGGAAGTGGCTATATTCGTCACATGTTTAAATTTCATTGGAGGAGATCAATTCAATAATTTAAAATTAAGAAAAAAAAATTGAGGTAGAAATTGTTTTCAAGCACACGCTCTCTCTCTCTCTCTCCCCTTATGCTTTGTGTGGTTTGATGAAAAATTGTAAACATAGATAAAATATTTTGTTTTGTAAGAAATAATAATAAAAATGATAAAAAAGTAACTGAATTGGGCAGAAAAGTTGATTATGTCTGCTAAAATGTATGCTATTTGTAGTATTTAGTATATACATATATCCTAGTATTTATCCATTATGTATTGTATTATACTAGGAATAATTCGTACTTGAAAACACACGTAAGTGAAAAGTCGTGAAATTGGGGTGAAAAAAAATTTAATGTGAATGATTAAAAATGTTGGTAGCTATTTTATAAGTTTCAAATAAATTTATTGAAGTTATCATATTTTATATTATAAATATACATCAATAAATATATCTACATTTTTTCAGCCTTTCACATTTATATCTTACTAAATACAAAAAAAAAAAAAAAAAATTGACGGAAAAATGTCTTTTCTAATTTAACATCCTTCAATTTTTTTTATCATTCTTGCTGCCGCTATAAAACATTTTAAGGTTTTTCGCAATTAAATTAGCTCACTATAAAAGATTTTTAGGTATTTTTTCACCGAAAAAACCTTATTTTTACCTGCGTGGAAACAACTCAATAGGACTAGTTTTCAAAGGTTCCTTTCTTGATCCTTAATCCGTTGAAGACCATAAAGCCACCGTTCATGTCCTCACCCATTCTCTCCACTCTCCAATTCGACCAAGCACTCTGCCTCTGCAAATCATGCCTCCTCAAGAAGAACACCAACAATTATTACTTGACCCAACACTTGATTCCGACAATGAAGAACCAGCCTACGAATCAACGGAAAAAGTCTACGTCATCGGAGTCGACGATGCTGGAGGCCAAAATTCAGACGACTACACCAGAACGCCGCCGTTTTCATGGAAGAAATTGTGGCTCTTCACCGGACCTGGGTTCTTAATGAGCATAGCGTTTCTTGATCCGGGGAATCTGGAGGGAAATCTTCAGGCGGGTTCGATCGCAGGTTACTCTCTGCTGTGGCTGTTGTTGTGGGCCACAGCTATGGGACTTCTGGTTCAGCTTCTCTCGGCTCGGCTTGGCGTGGCTACTGGGCGCCACTTGGCTGAGCTCTGTAGGGATGAGTATCCCAAGTGGGCGAGGTTGTTGTTGTGGGTCATGGCTGAACTGGCTCTGATTGGGGCTGATATTCAGGAGGTTATTGGGAGTGCTATTGCTATTAAGATTTTGAGCAATGGGATCTTGCCTATATGGGCTGGTGTTGTCATTTCTGCTTGCGATTGGTAACCCCTCTCTCTCTCTCACCCACCCACACCTGTTTTTAGGGTTTCATTGTTCTTCATGAAAGAGGATAACCTAACCATAATTGCCGGAAAATGGAAGAAAAGAGATAGAAAATGAAGGTCTCCTTTGATTTTCATCTCAAAAATTAGTATTTAAAAATTATTTATTTTTTATGTTTTGATATTTGTTTGGCTATATGATTTTAAAAATAGTTTATAATAAAAACGGTGTTCAAACAGTTTTTTTTTTTTTAAAACAGTTGTTTTTTTTTTGGTTTTTTTTGTATTGTATAATTTGTTTGGTTATATGATTTCAAAAGTACTATGAGTAAAATTTTTTTAGACAATAACCTTGAAAACAACGAAAATAAAACTGTGGTGATAATATTGGTGGAAGAGTGGTGGTGGTGGTTAAATTCTGGAAATTTTATTTTCAAAAATATATAAAATAGTCTTAACTTGTTAGCTAAATCTATCCACTTTATATTCTCAGTATTTAAAAAATTAAAGCAAGAAACTATTTCCAAAAATAGAAAAATAATTTCTAAGATGCAAACTAAACAAAACCAAAATTTTGAATTTAATGCGTCTTTCTGCGTAGGTTTTCGCTGTACCCTTTTGATTTTGTATTTATATATACATATATATATATTATTATTATTATTTTTAATTCTTTGTGCTTTTCTGGGGTGGGGATTTCAGAGAGCCTTAAATGTATGCCAATCAAAATAATTGGTGTTCTTTTTTCTATTTCTCTGGTCAACCTGTTTTTAGGAAGCAAAAACCAAACAGAGCCTTAAGTGAGAATTAAATTCATCATCTGACAAGTATGCTTCCTTCAATCTCTTGTTGCAGTTTCATTCTTCTGTTGCTTGAGAACTATGGGGTGAGGAAATTAGAAGCACTTTTCGCAGTTCTCATTGCCATAATGGCATGTTCTTTTGCCTGGATGTTTGGTGAAACAAAGCCCAATGGCGTAGAACTTCTTCAGGGTGAGGATATTTTTCTGATGCGTTGGAAATTTTAGAATATCAGCCTTTTGTTTTCTGTAATTATGTGTTATTAGCTTCTCTGAATCTGAAACATTACCAAATTGGACCCCAATTGTAGGTATTTTAATTCCAAAGCTTAGCTCAAAAACAATACAGCAGGCCGTGGGAGTTGTGGGTTGCATTATCATGCCTCACAATGTCTTCTTACATTCTGCACTTGTACAGTCCAGAGAGATTGACCGTCGCAAGATAGGCCGAGTTCGAGAGGCTATCAATTACTATTCAATAGAGTCTGGTATTGCACTTGCAATCTCCTTCATAATCAATCTATTTGTGACAGCAGTATTTGCAAAGGCGTTTTATGGAACTGAACAAGCCAATAGTATTGGCCTTGTTAATGCTGGGCAGTATCTTGAGGAGAAGTATGGTGGAGGATTGTTACCAATTTTGTACATATGGGCAATTGGATTGTTAGCTGCTGGCCAAAGTAGCACAATCACTGGCACTTATGCTGGACAGTTTATCATGGGTGGTTTTCTGAACTTGGGGTTGAAAAAATGGTTGAGGGCATTGATAACGAGGAGCTCTGCCATCATCCCAACTCTGATTGTTGCTCTTGTTTTTGATACCTCTGACCAGAAATTAGATGTTCTTAACGAATGGCTTAATGTGCTTCAGTCAGTTCAGATACCTTTTGCACTGATTCCTCTTCTTTGTTTGGTCTCCAAGGAGGAGGTCATGGGTGTATTTAAGATTGGCCCTGTTCTCAAGGTATGTTTTTGTTTCTTGTTTCTGCTCTTGGCCTTAAGTTCTTGTGGGTGCATTTTCTTTTCACAAATTTCTGTGCTTAGTCATGCCAAGGATTTTGTGACCTGCACTGTTGGTGAATTATGATGCTGATCATTCAGTTAAATTGACACAAAGATATATGTTTTGAGTGGATTTGATACGATTTGCTCAAAAATCTGTTTGGTTTCTTAGGCATGTTACTCAACTTAACAGTAGTCTGCTGGCTCATCTCAATTTGAAAAATTGACAACAATGTTGATGTCCCACACAATTTGATGTTATGATAATTGTAACTGGAGCAGTATGTATGTGTGTGTGTGTGTGCACCTGTCTGTACCTATATGCCTTAATTGGTAAATTGTGATGACCATTGCCCAAGTTTTATCCTCTATACTATCACTCTTTTCGTCTCTTTGTGGTCGGATTTGTCGTATCTCTGTGAACATGCCATTGTTATTGATGCATTGGTATGTCTATTAGTGGTGTTGAATTATCTATATTTTTTGCTGAATTTAGTCCTATTAAAATGTTTGTTTAGGCTTTTGGTTGTTTTGCACCTTGTCTATGTTGCTTAGTTGCTTATATGGTAACAAGATATCCCATGGATTAACATATTTCCTTCTCAGATGTTTTCTTATATTTAGTGTATTAAATTTAAGAGTAAATTACACATATAGTTCTCAAACTATGACATTTGTGTTAATTAAGACCCTCCACTTTTTTTATTTGTGTCAATTAAGCCCCTAAACTCTCTAATTGTGTCAATTAAGCCCTTCTGTTGTTTTATGCCATATAATCACGTGAGTGACACACTCTAACAGAGACAGACAGAAGAGCTCAATTGACACTATTAGAGAGTTCAAGGGCTCAATTGACACAAGGTCATAGCTTGATGGCTATATGTGTAATTTACTCTGACCATTTTGTATCATGTGAGTGGCACACTACTCCACTTTAGTTAAAAAATCTAACGGAAGTCGACAGAAAGATTCAATTGGCACAATTACATAGTTCAAGGACTCAATTGATACAAAAAAAGTTTAGGGACTTAATTGACACAAGGATTATAATTTAAGGGCCATATGTGCAGTTTACTCTATATTTAATTTTGGTTCCCTTGTTGTTCCTCGAGCATGGCTTCTCTCTTCTAGTGTTTTGCTTTTCCATCTAATAGTTTCCGTGAATTGAAAATACAAGTAAATAGTCTCACTGTGAGTTGCAGAGCATGTGAATGATTATGCAAGCATTTACGTTGTTCTTTGGCTGTGTTTTTATTTGTAGATGGTTTCATGGCTTGTGGCTGCCTTGGTGATGGTTATCAATGGGTACCTTTTGCTGGAATTTCTCTCTTCTGAAGGAAGTGGACTGTTGTTTACCTCTGTGGTGTCTGCTTTCACTGCTGCATATGCTGTGTTCATAATATACCTTATTTCACGGGCAGCACCTTTTCTAATTGGATTGTACAAGCCAAGGGATTCGCAAATGGGAATTGACCAATAATTTGTCCAACACTCGCGTTGAATACAGAGTCCTAGATTCATGTAGCACTTTCAATTGGAGGATACCCAACTACTTGTGTGTACAAAATGATCAGTTTTTTGAGCTGTGAGTATCTTCCACTTTAATGCATACTTCTGGGATTAGATGTCTGTAAAGTTTGATAGCTTAGTTCCTCGACATGGTGTGAAATGAAACATGATAGCTTCTGCTTGAGCATGCTATTATCTGATGGGAGAAGGAAGGAAGAACAGGCTGCTACCTTGACATAATTTCAATCCTATGTAGAAGATCTGGATCAGTGTAATTGTCGTCAGCAAATTTCAGAATATTAGTGGACCTTAGTTTAGCCCAAAGCTGTAACATAATGTAACACTAGTTGAGTTGGCAACGCCCCAACCTTTTTTCAGTAATTCAATCCATCGAGTTATTTAATCTTCTTCGTGTTTCACTTCATTATTTTTCTGAACCCCTCGCCCTCTCCTTCACACACGCACACACATGCACACGCACAGAATTTATATCGCTGATTGATTTTGTGGGAGCCTATGCATTCAGCATGTATAACTAGGTGCAAGAGTGTGCTTATAGGCAGCCGCAGGACAGAAAAGTAACAAGCTGTAAAACAGGGAGTCGGATTTAAGGGTGGCTGGAGAGTGTGACCTTTTTTTTTAGTTCAATGGTCATCTTCGGTCTAGTTGAAGGCAGATCATCCATGTCAAGACTAGGATATTCACAAGGGATAAATTCCTCATGGCCTAGTCCCAAAAATTGTCAAAATTCAAATTAAAAGTTTTGAGTTTACAGTTCGTTCTTGTTATTACTTGAACTATCCTTGAGATTGAGGGTGGCTTTTATCCGTTTGTTATCTGATTTTTTGAAACATTGAGCAGTTCTGTATTGCAATTTTCTAGGGGAAATTTCCGGGGTTTAATTGTGTGGAATCAAATCAACTTACCAGGAGCAATTGTGGTTTAGTTTCAGGCATCATGATTTGTTAGTTTTGTTTTCGGCTTCATGGCCATCAGAATTTCTGTGTTCGGTATTGAGAAATCGTCTAGTTAGCACAGATTCAAGCTGTGTCATACCAGAAAAAATTTGTGTTAGCTATGCTTCATTGATTTACATATGATCTTTTCTCCCAAGTCATTGGATGAAATTGATTAAAGGTGAGCGAGAATCTTGGTCAATCAATAGGCTGTAATATATTGGGTGAAACGAATGAAGAGGTTATGTCAGTTATCAGTTTTGAAAGATCTTGAACGCCCTTCCATTAGTAAAAATTGGTTCATAATTGGAAAATGCGTTATTTAGAACCTTACTTCTAGTTACTATTTTGAACCGTTAAAAATGATTCCAGTCGATTTTGTTAGTTTCAAGCTTCAAGTGTTTAGCCGGGCTCGTATGATCAATTTATTATACAAGTTTGACAATTTAATATTTTTTGACCTGAGTTTATTAATTCATCAATTTTTAGAAATTTCACGACAAGTTATGTAACAAGTTATTCACCAAAAGGCATGCATATAAAAAACTTATTTTTGTAAAACTA